TGGCAGCTCAGCTCCTACAAATTAATAACTAAATAGCCACAAAAAGAACATTTTTAACCATACCAAGGACCGCCAGCGCCTGTCCTCAGTGTACAGGGGACACTGGATCCAGGGTGAGGCTGGCTCCCCAAGCTACAGTCCCCAGGAGGAGAGACCCTTGATGCCCTAATTTGGGCCTACTCTGGCGGTGAGTGGGGCGGACGGCCGCTGCTCCACTATCCTGCCTAACAGACCCAACCAGAGGACGGCAATCGTGTGGATGTGGCCCTGCCCGGACCGGTGGGGGTGATCCCGGTCCGCACCCTGGGACCCAGACCAAAACAGCACAACCCGGGAGCCAACACCATTACCACCCAGCCTCGTAGCCCAAACGCCTCAACTAAAATGGCGGCTGACAGAAGGAGGGTATGCCCTTTCCACGATCCCTCGGGAAGCAAAGAGACCTCCGGGAACAAGCTGGTCTGACTTCTATTATGACAAGCAACAAGCCACTACTATAGCAACCAAGCAAAAAAGGCTAACCACTCACAGCCACCCCTGGTGAGACCGCGCCACCAACTAACGACCAACCGACATCTAGACTGCAATAAACTCACAGGGGGCACCGATAATGCAGAGACTCATATGACCTATCTACGACAACGATACTCTTACCAGCATTGAGCCACAAAGCAAAAGTATCTCCACCAAGCAGCAAAGCGGAACGGGCGGACAACATCCACAAGGCTACAAGCGAATGGGCACAACAATGCTCCACAACCCACTGGATGATCCGACGTCCCCACTACTACTCCTACCGGAGCAACCGGGGGAACATGAACATGACTGCAACCTTGAACACCAGCGGCAAGCATAAAATACTATGTGAAAGAAAAAAGTGAACTTAGTGGATCGTACTACCACCAAAAGATCACTCAGTGGAGCGCTAAATATCAAATTCTTACCCCTATTGGAATAACGTATATATCACTTTAAGGGGCAGACAGCATAATAAAATCTACAACAAGAAAATACACATCATGGTGCAGTATGCTTGTAAGGTGTGAATGGAGTGGAAGAAGATGTATGTCCAACTCACATGGTAAAGAGCCTGGAGATTGGCTCAAATCACAACAGCTGAGGTATGTTTGGTAATACCAGACCTTCTCCAGATATACAGCTCACAACATATGTGGATAAAAAAGGACAAAAATCCTAGTGCAAGTATGTTTAAAATAAACAAGTGGTCACATATAACAGTGCATGAATGTGCTCACCTGGAATAGAGCCAATTGTACTAGGCTCTATGTATAAGCGTGTGGTGCCTTTAAGGGAGGCACTACCCTTCTTTAGAAAATGCAGGAAGCAGTTGAAGATCCACTACCAGATGTATAAGGTAAAAGTAACAATTTATTAAAAAAAAAAAAAAATTAAGCAAAGTAAAACTGTATATACAGGTACCAAAAAGTAAAAGTCTCTGGGGTGGTCTTCCTTGGAGTTCCGAGACGCGTTTTCGCCGTGGGGCTTTCTCAATCAGAAGGTAAAAGTAACAATTTATTAAAAAAAAAAAAAAAACAATTAAGCAAAGTAAAACTGTATATACAGGTACCAAAAAGTAAAAGTCTCTGGGGTGGTCTTCCTTGGAGTTCCGGAACTCCAAGGAAGACCACCCCAGAGACTTTTACTTTTTGGTACCTGTATATACAGTTTTACTTTGCTTAATTGTTTGTTTTTTTTTTTAATAAATTGTTACTTTTACCTTATACATCTGGTAGTGGATCTTCAACTGCTTCCTGCATTTTCTAAAGAAGGGTAGTGCCTCCCTTAAAGGCACCACACGCTTATACATAGAGCCTAGTACAATTGGCTCTATTCCAGGTGAGCACATTCATGCACTGTTATATGTGACCACTTGTTTATTTTAAACATATTTGCACTAGGATTTTTGTCCTTTTTTATCCACATATGTTGTGAGCTGTATATCTGGAGAAGGTCTGGTATTACCAAACATACCTCAGCTGTTGTGATTTGAGCCAATCTCCAGGCTCTTTACCATGTGAGTTGGACATACATCTTCTTCCACTCCATTCACACCTTACAAGCATACTGCACCATGATGTGTATTTTCTTGTTGTAGATTTTATTATGCTGTCTGCCCCTTAAAGTGATATATACGTTATTCCAATAGGGGTAAGAATTTGATATTTAGCGCTCCACTGAGTGATCTTTTGGTGGTAGTACGATCCACTAAGTTCACTTTTTTCTTTCACATTGTGTTTGTGTAGGATTGGGATACCTGCATGCGTGTTTGAGCTGCTGTTCTATTTATATATTATTGTTAAGCGCCTAATTGCACAGAGCACCTTTTTCTTGTACTATAAGCATAAAATACTGTCTAAATATAAGAGACTGCCAACATAAAGGGGGTTCTTAGTAACTCAGTCGTTTTTACTAGCTACCAGTCAGGAATATGGGGATCTGCACTTAACTAGCTAATACTGTTGTGTCTTTTTCTCGGGAGGTGGGAGGCATAGCTAGTTAATCTGGGTCCAGGGAAGTGCTTGTAACTAAATGCTTAATTACTGAAGCACCACATCTGGCAAGGTGCAATTTTGATGTATAGACTCCATCACATATCAGTCGAGTTACATGTTAAAACTAGCCTGATGCAATTACCGTTGACAGAACCCTATTACTTTGTTTTTATATGCCATAGCCTGGTTTATTTTCCTTTTTCTTTTAAGCTATTATAGTTCATCGACCGGTAATCTAAGTATGAACAAAACGGTATTTCTGATATATGAGTAACACTACTAAACTAAGCTGGTTTCCCCTAAATTTAATAATTGTTTGAGTCAAATGATTGCTAAAATGTGCCAGGCATAGAACAACAACCACCTGTTAATAAGCATAACTATCAACAACTCGCATACATTTAACATTGATCGCATGTATTCGTACGCATACTTACTTATAAAAATGTGCAGCTTCAACCTGTAATGACAATGTTTACGTTGATATACCTGTGACTGCTGTCGTGGCATAACAGGCATGTTTGTAACCCATAATGCACAACAAAAATAAAGAATAAAAAAAAAAAAGAAAAAATGAGAATCAATACATACATACACATATATACACACACATACATACATGAATACGCACGCATATACATATCATGACACTTGTCCGACATAAATCATGGATCACAAATCACCAATGTACTACCAGCATATCAAACTAACACTTTCCTTGATCTATATAAACCAAAGTCCAGAGTCCAAACCAAAAAGTCATATTCAAGAACCAAAAGTCAATGTCAGGATCTAAAAAGGTGAAAAGATATCACTATAAAGCAGAAGAAGCAGATTTAATTTTTATTTATTTTTTTAAATTCAGTTCCTACTGATCTCTTACTGCGTACCAAAAAAAAAAGTAATTGCCCAAAGACCTTGTAGCGGAGCTGCAATATTAAATCCCATTATCTCCGCTGGTAAAGAAAGTAATCCAAGGAGAGCGCTGCAAATGAAGGCAATATCCCAAATACCCCAGTAACCGGACGAAACACAGTTCTGGGAGTCAACTGACGATTTTATTCACAAGCTCCAGTATTTATGTGATTCCCCATGCAAGGGGTTTCCTTAGTCACTTTACAGAGGTATTACAGTAGGGGACTACATGGGGAACTGCATATACAGGGCATTTTTCCCACCATGCACTGCTGTACGAGAGGGATACTCCCACAAGAATATGCTGCTAAGTGAATTATCTCTCCGTACAGCAGAACCGGCTTTTCACATAAAAATCTGTAATTTATACTTTATTCGTGCCATTGTACCGAATGACCGATCGTCAGATAGCTGGGGTCTGAGCGCACACTTTGTGAAAGTACCGCTCAGATCCCAGCATAATTCACCGAACTCCGCACAAAATACATTTTAACATCAACTCTTCAGAAAAGTCACGAATGCATCGGTTGGGCGAAAGTACTGAAAGACTGGCGCTCCCGAACGGCCTGCAAGTCCAGAGGTGTTTGTGCCGTCGAGTAGCCGATTTTAGTTCCAGGCACTCGACGACCAAACACCGCTGGGCTAAAAGGGAATCCAAGATGGCCGCCGCCGCGTGGTCGGTATCCGAACGACGGCCACCCTGGGAATCAATTAGCAGCCGATAGATACAATGTTGCAATCGGTTAATGGGAGCCACACGACCCCCTGTGTGTGGGCTCCCATTCGGTAATTTGTTCGTTTCACAAACAGTGTTGAAAGTCACTGTTCGTGAAACTACCATATGAATGCTAGCGGCTTTCGTGCCACTAGCATACAAATGCCCTCTATCACATTTATAAGCAAATACATAAAATCACATAAGTTAACCAGCTTTTCTAGGACAACCCTTAGACATATTAAAGAATAGTCTGAAGTGGCTAGGTTTGCCACAGACCTCTTTATTTTTCTTCTTGCAGAGATTTTTGCATCTAGCAGAAAATCTAGGTAATAACTAGATAGATTCATAAGGTGAGTACCACAAGGACTTTGGGGATTCTAATTCTCCCTCGCCTCGTACCATTCCCTGAGAAGAGGGAGTAGTAAAACCTTTGGTTGAAATAGAAGCAGAACTCCCTCCGGGATATTGAGACCCATTGTTTGAAAGAATTGTGACGAAGTGCCCTTCGCCACTTGTGCCTGGAGAGGACTGATTGCCAGCCTTCTGCCATGTGACTATGGCCCCTGGGATGTATTGCCCTTTAAAGACATGATTTGGGCATAATGGATTTGTGTTGTGCTGCTGCTGGCCCTTTAAGAACCATCTGGGGACATACTGTGGAGTTACTGGGTGGCCACCATTTCCTGTATCAGAAGCACATGGTGAGAACAATGGATGGCGCCATTTTAACTCACAGACACTGTTTGGACTTTTCAACACGGTGCCATCTTGCCAGTATTTGGTGCACAGAGACATCGTGCAGTGGTTTTGGACTATACAGCAGGGGACACATTATAAAGTGATTGTTTTTCATTTAGCCTGTATATGTTCTGCAGAATCTGCATTAAACTGTATTTTCCAAAGTACTGAACGGATCTGGGTGAATTTTGGATATGTGGTTCAACCAGATCCCCCGGTTCCAAGGATATATTTTTTATGGGGTTATTGCATGTTTTGGGGTCCCTGTGTGCTTTATGAAACTGTATTATTTCTGGCCAGCAGATAATTGAGCTTTGTGTATTGTAGAAACTCAATTATCTAGCCTGGCCCAGAGGAGGAGTTTTGTGTTGCATAAATTGTGAGTTCTGTGAGCCAGTAAATCAGTCTTGTTCCAGCATTAAGCCTTGGCTCATGTTTGGGGGAAGGGATACCTACACTCTGGGGATTGCTATAATCACTTACTCCCCAGAGGAAGCTCTTGCAATAGCTTGATTTGTTCCTGTTCCTGCTCTCTGGGGAAAGAGAGGTTCACCCACTGAAAGCTGGATCCTGGCCTTGGGTCCAGGGTGGGTGGAAACAGCAGAGACCCCGGCGCACTTGCATCGCTGGAAGTGGGGTCTGCAGTGCTGATGGTGTCGGTTGGAGTGCTTGGAGTCCTCAGCGAGCACTAGGAGCATCGATTGGTGGAGGTACTCAGTCGGAGTGCCAGCGTTCCGTCACATTTGGTGGCAGCGGTGGGATGGCGTCCTAGTGCGAGGACCAGCAGCTCGGAGACAGCGGTAACGTGTGGAGTTACGGATTTATAATTGAGGGCAACGCTAGCACTTGTGCAGCGACCCTGGCTTCAGAGGAACTCAAGGGATAGAGCTAGCTACAGGCAGCGTCCCTATCCACAGCAACATGGAAGAGGAGTTTCGCTGGAGGTTGCAGCAGCACCTGGCCCAACAGGACGGGCCTGTATCAGAGGAGTGCATATTGGACTGGAGAGATGTCACTCGTACGGAGATGTGGCACGATGCCCTGGAAAAGGTACAACGGCGGCGGGGAGAGAGCCTTCCCAGTGACGAGCAGCGGTTCCAGGTACTCGAGGCCCTGCGCTCCCCTTTCCTAGGGGAGCAACCCTTGGATGAATGGTTGTTGGAACTCTGGGATTTAATTTGGAAGGAGTTGTGGCTAGATGCAGCTTACCGGGCATTAAAGTGGTACGCCACCCAGCGCAACCCCTCGATGACTAACCACTATCTGCCCGAGGGAGAGGATTATAATGGCCCGGGCTTACTGTGGGAGGCCTATGAGGAGGGCGATGACTTTGGATGCCCCACAGAGTTTCGGTTCTGGGACATCCACAACATCAGGGAAACCCTGCTGGATCTTCCCCGAGCGGACGACCTGGGGCCAGACCTGAGTCATCTGGTCGCAATGGAGTGGGGGCTGGAGCAGAGCTACCGACGCCTGTTCAACTTAGCCCAATCACCGTCCCTCAGCCCAGAGGATTACCTGGACACCCTACCCTCTTCTGTCCAACCAGCCCCAGAGGTGAGCAACCTTATGGAACGGTCCTGGGAAGACCCACAGATGGCAGGTGGAGATGGAACCGAGGTCTCTCCACCTGCCCCACAGGGATGCTGGGTACCCGGCCCAGATCCCCAGCGGCAGTGTATCTCACAGGGAGAGGAGACAACCGGTCTCCCTTCCCAGCAGCAGCCTGAGTTCCAGGAGGAGGTGATGGTAGATCCCCCATACAGCAACCAGCGTCCTGGGGAGGGGAGGCAACCGGCCTCCCTCTCCTCCACCAACCAGAGGTACCTGAGGTAGTGGACCTCGTAGACGTGTCCTGGGGACACACAGAGATGGCAAGCGGAGATGGGACCGAAGTCTCTCTGCCAGCCCTACAGGGATGCTGGGCAGTCAGCCCAGGTCCCCAGCGGCAGCATAATATACAGGGAGAGGAGACAACTGGTCTCTCTCCCCAGCGGCGGCCTGAGTTCCAGGAGGAGGTGATGGTCGATCCCTCCACCTTACAGCAACCAGCGTCCTGGGGAGTGGGGGCAACCAGCCTCCCCCTCCAACAGCAGCCAGAGATACCGGGAGAGGGGGAAGACAAACCTAACCACACTGGCGCAGATGGGACCGCGGTCTCTGTGCCTGTCCTACAGGGAGGCTGGACGGGCGGTCCAGATCCCCAACCAACCCCGCAGGTATGCCAGGAGGAGGAGGTAAGCAAAACTTCCCCTCCCCAGCTACATCCCAACCGGGTCCTGGGGGCAGTGGATGAGCCTGCGATACCCACTGACCCCCTCCCAGCAGAAGAGCTGGCCTCTGGGCAGAGCTCTGTTAGCCTCTGCCCCCCGTTTTCCCCTGTATCAGAGCCTGACTTACCACGGGTTACCCCAGTGGAAGAGCTGGCAGCAGGGCAGAGCGCCGCTGGCCTCTGCCCCCCAAGCAACACCAGCAGTTTGCCTAGCTGCACCAGGGAGACCGAGAGGGCTTCCAGGGGATGTAACATTTAAAGGGGTAACCCTATGTTTAGGGGTACATCCAGTAACCCAGGGAATTTGTGTCTGTACTAATGGGATTATGTGTCACACTAAGGGGAGGAGATGTGTGGGAGGTAACTGGTACATTATTGGCTGGGGTACTAATTGTTGTGGATCCCTACCTTGCATGGGAGAATGTCTTAAAAGGAGGCTGTGTGAATCAATCTGGAGTTCCTGCTTAACCCTCAAAGTGAAGTGTCGTCTCATTATTGGGGAAGGATTTATTGTATGCTGTTCCAGTTTGACTGCTAGGAGTCTAAACCCATCCGTTCAGCTGGTTATAGCATTCATATGCTTGAGAGAAGGTATACGCTTCTCCGGTTCGGTGATTGTGGTGTCTGCCAGAGTCCTTGGAGTCCTCAGGAAGTGCTAGGAGCATCCTTTAACGGAGGTACCCAGTCGGGGTGCCAGGTGATCCGTTACAATAGGTATCAGAATTTGTTATAACTATAACTGGTTGAAGTGGGGGTATGTTACAATCAGAAAATGAATTAATAATTATATGTACGATTTATACTGATATGAGAAAAGAGTTTCTGATACAATAAATTATATGCCAGGTGCACTTACATACTAATCCGCTTAATGTAATGTGCAATCACACAAGTACACACGACTGTAAATGTTTCATTCCTGTA